AGAAGGTCATGGTGTACAGACAAGGTAATGGACCTTGAAGGCTACCCAATGGAAAATGACCTTTTGTAGGGCGGAGGGATGGGTGCAGTAGAGCACGCAAACTTTTGTGGATGCCTTACTATCTTTGTATCCAAGCTTCTTGAGTAGCCCGCGCAGGGCCTCGGAGCAGATGTTCTGAGGTGGTCAGGACCGACGCCAGAAAGGCCTTGCCCCTTGCATGCTGCAGTGAACAGATTGCAGCGAGCGCTTTAGCCACCCTGAACCACCTCAAGCTCGCTGAGACCTTTTCATACTTGCCTCCGCCTTCCTCCTGACAAAACACCAAGTTACCTCTGTTCTGCCCAGATGGGATGGCTATGCAAAAGTCAGAGCAAATCCAACCCCGACATGGTCGCCCCCTATTTGACTGCCAGCAGACCTAAGCTGTCAGACATCACCCACACTTGGACGGCGCAGTAAGAGCACGAATGCGCGAAAAAAATCTGGATCTTAGCCAGGTCGACCAACGACGGGTCATTTCTGCTGGTACCATGTCAGGCCAATTTCACAGCCCACTTGGCACAGTGGGGAGTGGAGAGGCAGATGACTATATATCATGATTTGCATTGATTTGCTTCAGGCTGCCGAGATCCAGTTGCAGTGATCCAAACACGTGCCAAGAAGGTCCAGAACTTATATAAGAGGAAAAAGTTGCTTGGGCCTTTTAAAGGGGGGTTCCTTCAATGGGCCCAAGCACGTTGTTTTCTTGTTTTTGTATATAGATACGTTCTTCAAACAAATTGTTTTGTCAAGTGTCTCTGTGTGTCAAAGGACGCCAAGAAGGTCCAGAACTTAGAGGGGCAGCTTTGAGTGTTGAGCGCAACCAGAGGCAAGAGAGATGGAAATGGAGCTGGAGGCTGGCATGGACCTGTTGTGATGTGTTTGGCTTGTGGCCGCCCATGGGTGGCAAGTCGTGTTAAGTCACAATGGAGCTGAGATTTGCATACAGGCCATTGGTAATCAATGTGCCATGCTGTGTATTGCCTCGTTCACAGTTTTCTTCACGCAATTGCATTCAATGCATACAACGCCTGCAGAACTTGGCTGCGGGAAAAGGGCCTCTTCTAAAAAAGGAGAAGCCTCCGCAAGCAGCGACACCAAGCTTTGACGAGGTGCAACGAGCAACGGCAGAAGGGTGGACATATGGCTTGTGAAGTCTTCTACACGAAGCCTGCTAGCGTGCAGGAAGCCGCTGCCATGCATCTCTATGCCCCACCAGAGGTCTTCAAGTTTTTTCTTGAATTGATTTGAATTGACATTTAACAGAAGCATATGTTCAGCTTGCAGCACCAGGAGGTATCAGCAAAGGAGTCCAGATTTGCACCACAATGTAAAGTGGTATGACCCCGAGCACTGGCAGTCCCTGCTCCGATCTTGCTTTGAATGCTGACACGCTGATGGCAATGAGCAGGGGACATGCTTCTTGGGGTGCAGCGGTGCAATGCTCTCACGTGAATCTGAGGATGACTCAGACTCAGCACTCGTCGGAGAGGTTCCTGGCGTGGGAGGCCGCTTAAACTAAACTCGTTCGATCACATTGGTGATAGCGGAGCCAGACTTGTGCATGTGCTCCATTGACTCATTGCAACTCATTGACGCATTGTATATTGCGACTCACGGGTGCTTTCCCGGTCCATGTGTTGGACGAGCATTTTAGGAAGAATATATACGTTGGTCGAATCTGTTGTCCACTGACCTGCGTTGCAGCCATCCCTGGCTCAAAACGGGTGAGGGTGTGCAGTGAATTGCTCGAAATCACAACACCTTTCTGAGCACCTTGGTTGCAGAGCTGGGACGTTTTGGTGACAATTTTGACCATCGGAATCGCCCAGGAGCAAGGACGGAGAAGTCAACGGCAGCCAGAAGACTGGAGCCCCTCAAGCGGCAGGACAGCTACCTTGACTTGTCCCACTTTTGCTCGCAAGCCTGGAAACCGCATGTATTTACAGAGCTCGAGGACAAGACGGCACGCTATGGGCTTGGTTCGGTTCAACAAGAAGGCACGTGCGCCACAGACACTCTTATATATATATACACACACTCAAATGAATTATATAATAAGCATAAATTGCATAAATGTCAGTATGTGACTCGCCGATGAATACTTAGCGCTTGACTTGAAGCAACTGTACGAATGCTGGGTCAGAGAACCGAATTGTTTGAACGCACGCATTGGCCCTTTACCACGCATTAGCCCTTGAGAATGAAATTAAAATGCCGGAACAACATCAGGTACATGAACCACCATGAAACAAACCAAGGGACCACAGCAACCAACCAACAGCTAAACAACAGCAGGCACGTTTACACCTCCCTGGTGCGCGGTCTTCATTGGCCAGGACGTGCACCAGGGAGTCCTGGCCCCCCTGCTGAAAGTTAAAAAATTGCTCTTGGAAACAAAAGTTGGACACACACACACACAGTGTGCCGTACTCGGCGCTCGAAGAATGCGCGGAGAAACTCGGCAAAAAAAACTTGACTTACAACATCCCCCACCCGTGTTCGCCTATAAAATGCCGATGCTTTTGTGCTTATATTATGCAAATTTTGACCCTCATTTTACGGGGGACCCAAGCGGTGCACACTTGGAATCTTGGTGTTTTTTTGAGGGTTTAGGAGGTACGAGGTCCATTTTTGCATTTCATAAACTTGAGTCTTTTTTGGGGCTGTTTGTGTCCAGGGGGCATTTTATAGCAGGAGTTGATTTTTCTTAATTTAGATACTGGCTCCTGGTCAGGGCATTTTATAGGCAACTGTTTTTTCCTCTTAGGTGAGGACAGGACCCATCAAGGGCATGTTATAAACAACATGGTTTTGTCAATGTTCTTGGACAAGCTCATACATGACCCAACTAAAAGGACACATTAAAATCAGGAAACTAACATGAAGGGAAGACAGGACATGAAGGGCTTAGAGCAGGAAACTATTTAACAATTATTGGTGTTATTTTTTTTACACACATGTTTTTCAACATTTCCTTCAAACAGACTCTAAATTGGACCCTGCCCCCCCCCAGTAACAGTCGCAAAATGCTTTCCCTACTAAACTTACTAAGAGAAAAAGCACCACAAATCTCAAACTGAAATCAGGCCACTTCAACAAGGTACCATCTTCAATTGTGATTTGAAGTTTGAAGGTTTAGAACCCTGTCATCTCATCTCATTCATCTCATCTCATTCACTCCCGAAGGCCCTCTCATCTCATTCACTCCCAGTCTTTCACCAACCTGATGTTGAGTTACATTGCACTGGGTTACATCTGCTACCATTACTACCACTACTATTGTATACTACTAGACTAGTACACCCAAAAGCTATGAATATATTATATACTAATATCACTAATATCCTTAATTTATATTGCATCATATGCATGGGCTGCATGAGCATGTCTCGCAGGAGACACTCACATGGCTCATGGAAATTCTTTGCCCATGCCACGCACAAGGTCGAAGAACTTGCCAGGCAGGAGACCCCCCAACCCCCTCAGACCCCCCAACCCCCTCCCCCAGGGCCACCCCCGGAGTCCCAGGACCACCGGTGTTCTGATCCACCGTTTCCGCGGGGACAATCTTCGGAGCACCAATCCCGCTTTCAAAATCTCGCGCGCTTTCTCGTGCTTTTCTCGTGCTTTTTCTCGTGCTTTTTTCGTGTTTTTTGGCGCCTTTTCTCGTGCTCTTTTGGTGCCTTTTCTCGTGCTTTTTTGGTGCCTTTTCTCGTGCTTT